TTGACCTTCAGTCTAGCTTAGACAAAGAGAGGCACCCTATCCATTAAGATAACACATACACACATTTGGTTCTAAGCATAACGAGAGAATCATAATACCCACCATTGTCCAGGCATGCTGAGTCACCTCTTCTCCAACATTACTAGAATTCTTGTGCTCCTCTTCTACCTTAACAATGAGTGCCAGACAGTTATTGATGCCCCTTCTCTCAACAACAGCTTCCTTCTCTGTCTACTGGTTAGCAAGTGCTTTGTTCAGTCTCACCTCCATATTCTGCTTGTCCCATGACAGCCCCAGTTCCAAGATCCACAAAAACTGGTGCATGAGCTATGATCATGCTGTTACAGGGGGTGGAGAGAAGCGGGGCTATTTTGGGGCAGGAACGCACAGGAACGGAGTTCCGGCTGGCTCCCAAGTTGGCTACACCCAGAAGGAACTCATTTGCATAATAGGCCACACCCAACAGCAGGAACTCATTAGGATTGGCTACATTAGGGGTGTGTGGCCTAACATGCAAAGGAGTTCCTGCAACAAAAAAAGCCCTGGGTTTTGACAACAAACAAGGTAAACAGAATAGGAAGCAAAAGGTGGGTGTGGCTGGATGACCACACTTCTGGTAACATGGGGGTGCGGCCTAATATGCTAATGAGTGGTGCAGTCAGGGTGTGTGGCCTAATATGCTAATGAGTTTCTGCTGCTGAGTGTGACCTATAATGCTAATGAGTTCCTGCTGGACTTTTTCTACAAAAAAAGCCCTGGAGAGAAGGGTGCTGAAATCCATCACCACACTTCCCAAACTTGTGATGTAGCTATCAAAAGGGATGGCATGGGTCATTCGTTCAGCAGTGAAGCCCTTGTGTACTTCTGGGCCCAGTTTCTATCCCACATACCTTTAGCATGTGCTCGCCTGATCCAGAAGGAAATGCACAAGTGGTTGCCAGGTTATACAGACATATTAGCCATGCTGGATTGGGGCAACTATCTTTCCTTCTCTAGGCTGTTCTCATGCTGTCTCCTTTCTGCTTACTAGAATGTCATTTACCTGCTTCTGGTGTGAAGGATCAGTCCTGTACTCTGTATGCCAGCCCAGGCAGGTCTTCCCTGCAGACAACAAGGCTTGGGCACATCAGCAGGCACACACCTAGTAGACCAGTCAGCTTCAGCCTAAATAAGCTGGGAAGGAATCAGGCTCAGCTGCCCTGCTGGCAGGTGTTGAGCTCCTGCAGCTGCACTGTGCTTTGGCCAGGATCCTGCGAAGAATTGTTGTTCTTACTGCCCAGCTCTGGGATGGGGTGACAGGCAGCCACTTCCCCTCCAGTTTGGTGTAATGGTTAAGAGCGTGGGCTCTCATCTGGGAGAACCTGGTTTGATTCCCCACTCCTCCACATGCAGCTGCTGGCGTGACCTTGGGTCAGTCACAAGTTCTCCCAGAGCTGTTCTCTCAAGGGCAGTCCTCGAAAGAGCTCTCAG